TCTTTTCTTTTCTTTCTCATTTACCGACGTTTTATTTCCCGCTTTTCCCTCCTTTTTTTCCCTTTTTAGCACGTCTTCAGATATCATTAACTATAGTGAAACCCCGTTAACACGGACACTAAGGGGGGTAGCCTATTCCAGGCTCCAAGATAGCCTGGTCCGTTGAGAATTGAGAAAGCGCGAAAATAAATAAAAAAGAAAAAAAAACGAGAGGAAACTGCTCTCCCGGTCAACTTTTCGCTTGCCTCTCGCTCCTTCCAAACTATCTGGGAGCCTGGAACAGGCTATGAAGGGGCCAGAGAAAGTGGCATATTAACGGAATGTCCGTATTAAGCCCAGAAGGGGTACTCCCTCATATGGTCTACATGGGGATTTGCCGCTGGACAGGGTATGGTTTATGACCTCTCTGTCAGTCTGTCTTACACAGAGTATATAATTTTGTTTGATTCTGTTTGAAAGGGTGTATCCTGCACGACTGATTTGATTTCCTAAATGAATTCTTTATTCAAAAGCAATGATTGTAACGTGAATTGCTCTATTGCAATTGCCAATAAATGGCTTTAAAACAAGACGGCGTTCATTTTGTCCTATGTCCTAAACAGGGTAATAAAATTGAGGATGTTGCCCTAGACAGGGTATGTATTTAAGGATTTTTTTTGTCCTAAACAGGCTCAGGGTTCCAAACCCTACCCAATATTGGTCAGTACTCCCACCCTCCCTCTTACCCTCCCTCCCTCCCTGGTAATGTCGATCCGTCATTCCCAGGCCCTGCTCTGGCAGACGGTGCGTCTTCCAGCTTTTATCACATGTTCTTTGTTGGTTTTTCAGAGATCTTGCGGAGATGGAAGGCCGCAGGTAAGCTTTTAACCTTGTTGGCTTTCGCCCTCTTTCTTGGCATATATTTTCCAACAGTTTCAGCCTGGTATTAGAAAACAGTAGAAACAAAACTTTGATGGAACGGATTTGAATTGAAAGTGAATGAATGCCCAATACAGCACAAGCGTGCCCATTACGCTTAAACGTTCTGGTATGAGTTGCTCAGGGGCGGATCTAGGGGGAGGGTGCAGGGGGTGCGCACCCCCTCCACCCTGAGATGACCTGCGGTTTCCTAATACAACTGGTATTCTGCAAAAAAAAAAGCTAATTGGTTAATTGGTGTTGAAGTAGAGCAAGAGACGAGTGCACCCCCTCCTAAAAAAAAATCCTGGATCCGCCCCTGTTGCTCCTTGGGTTTGGTTACCTGCTTTCAAGTGCATGAAACACTGTGTCAGTGGCTTGAAATCGCCTGTTAGTTGGACAGTACATAGGGCTAAAGTAGCAAAGAAATGCCTTGAAAATCGGGGGCGTCCTTGTTGCGGGGAACTCCCCAGCCTATGTATGAAAGGAAAAGGGCCCGGGGGGTACACCTGGGAATTCTTAGAGGGGTGTGCTGCCCGGTTGTCCAAATCCTGACCCTGTTTCAGACCAAAAAATGTCATTTTCCACACCCGTTTTCAGTACAGACCTCTAAAATGCGCAGGCAGGAAATGTTTTGGATTTGAACTCCCTAAAGACCCCTTTCCTGGGTTTCTGATTGATTCAGACAGGATATTGGCCAGTTCCGTTCTTCTCGGGTGAAGCCTCGCAAATTGGTGGATTATTTCATCAAGGTTAATTTCCATGTTGTTTGTTGGATGTGGAGCAAGATTTCAACTTGCAAAGATTTTTTACAATTAAAAATACACCCAGATGATCAAATTCAATCAACTTTTAAAATTATATTTATTATGAAAAATCTGACCGATTTCCGTAAAATGGTGGAAACCGGTGTGGATCCGCACCTGGGATGCCAGGTTCAAAGCAATCCAAAACACAAATGGCTACACTAAGACAATAATAAGTAAACTTTATTCATCTTTCTTACATTATTATCAACATTTGGGATTGAAAGGTGCAAACTTCTTTAATAATTTTTACAGTAACAAATAGAAACAGCAAATGACAGTGTAAAATATTTAGGGGGTAAAACTCTGATGTGGAATTTTTCTGCTTCCCTTGGGTAAGCTGTTCTAATCAAGTGAGGTTTTGTTTATCTGTCAAGAAAGGGTAAGAAATATGAGGAGCTTGGTTGAAAATTATGTGACCTCTATGAATTATGCACTGATCAGTTGAAACTTCAACATCACCCCCGGGCATTTGAAGTTTTTCAAACAGGCCTATTCAAATTCGTCAGTTACATTAGCCCAATGTTACTAGTGGTCAAATATTGCGCCTCCCAAAGGAGAAATGTTTTGCAGATTCACTCAGTAAAGTCGAAAAATAGACTTAAGGGAATCCACATGATGCTGATTGGCAACTGAACACTTGATGACTTTTTCATGCCTTAATGCCTCCAAAAATGCATACCTGTAGCTTTTAAAGTCCTCAAAATTTTTAAGAAATATTAACATTAATCAAAGGCTGTTTGACTTTACCTTCTATCTCACTAAGGGAAAGATGGCATCTATCCATCCATGTTGTCAGACCTAATAATAATAATAATAATGGAATTTATATAGCGCTGATACATTGCTGTTCTAAGCACTTTACAATGTAAAAAAGGACATAGGAATATCATTAATCACAAGCTTACATATAACCCTACTGTACATATTGGGAAATTTATAGCATACACATCTTAAAAAGGAAAGAAAACAAAAACAAATATGATGAAACTAAATGTCATATACCTTTTTAAAAAGAAACGTTTTCAACTTAAATTTAAAAAGATTAACATCAGAAAAAGCTCGAATTTCAAAGGGGCGCTTGTTCCATAGTCAGGAGGCAGCAACGAAAAATGCTCGCTGGCCATAAGTTTTTATGTTAAAATTTGGTTCTTCAAGGCGTAAATGATCCCTTGATGACCGTAATGTCCTTGATTGATGGTAAAATTTTAAAATATCTTCAAGATAACGGGGACCAGAGCCATTCAATGTTTTAAAAGTTATTAAATTTATTTTAAAAACAATTCTCTCCTCAACAGGAAGCCAGTGAAGATCTCTGCTCACAGGGTAACAGACAAACTTTTACGTTTAAAAATGTAACACATCCGGTTCAAATTATTCCCTTAGCCAGGCTAAAGGTCAAAATATTCTCATCTGCCTGGGTAAAGTGATGCCATGGTTAGCCTGTGGGAATGTGAAAGTTTTAAATTGATTGGTGCACTAGATGGACATCTCTATTGTGTATTTGTTAGGCATTTGAAGCTACATAAAAGAATGCTTAACAAAGAGAGACCATTTGAATGCAAGGAGTGTGGGAAATGGTTTAAAAGGAAAAGACATTTGTCACAACATAAAAGAACACATACTGGAGAAAAACCATTTGAATGCAAAGTGTGTGGGAAATGGTTTACAAGGAAAGGATATTTGTCACGACATAAAACAACACATACTGGAGAAAAACCATATGAATGTGAAGACTGTGGGAAATGTTTTAAACGGAAAGGACATTTGTCACAGCATAAAACAACACATACTGGAGAAAAACCATATGAATGTGAAGACTCTGGGAAATGCTTCAGCCGTAAATATATTTTACAGAGTCATAAAAGAACACATACTGGAGAAAAACAAGTGGAATGCAAAGAGTGTGGGAAATGTTTTAAAAGGAAAGAATATTTGTCACGACATAAAAGAACACATACTGGAGAAAAACCATTTGAATGTAAAGTGTGTGGGAAATGTTTTAAAAGGAAAGAATATTTGTCACGACATAAAAGAACACTAAATTCAGCATCTTCTCATTTGGAATTTCGGTTTTGGTGCAGCATTCATCCCTGTCAAGCTCATACAAGCAGCCCATTTTCCCTTGTTCATTCCAGCCAAAAATGTAACGAAATAATAAATACATTTTGTTATCAACACATAACAAAGTGGGACTTCCAGTGTCCCATGGTGTTTTTGTGTTTAAACTGGCAATGAAATGCCATTCATTTGTTGTTTCATTGTACACTTCACAACTTTCTGAAATATTATTTCTGTTTACTCCACCAGCAATGAAAATTCTACCACATGCAGCTGCTCCACATGCACTCTGTCTTGGTTCTAGGATGTCAGCTATTTTTTCCCATGTGTTTGTGCTGAGGTTGTACCTGTCTGCATCTTTCAGTGTCTCATATCGGTTCTCGGCATATCCACCAAGAAAGTATATGAAATTGTCTTGAGCAACAACGCAAAGTCCTACTCGTGAGCCCAGATCAAGTGCAGTCATATCTTCCCATGTGTTTGATTCGGGTTTGTACTTCATAATAAACGTATTATGCTTTTTTCCGCAAGGTGGGTTTCTCCTGCTGGCACTCAGTGACAGACATTCTGAACATGTGTCTTGATCTTCAGAGACCAAAGCACACAATTCTTTGTCATTTCTAACAAAGAATTGATGCAATCTTCTTTGCTCTATAAAAGGTAATGATGTCCAGCAGTTGTAGAAAAAATCATAGCACAAAAGTTTGCCATCACTTTGAGATATAAAATAAAGTTTATCATCACATGAGATGACTTCACCATTAGTCATGCTTGGCACTGTGCTAGGGAAACAAGACCACTCATCCTCAGTGGGAGAGTAACATAGAAGTTGGTCTTGCTGTCTATCATCTTGCACACAGATTAGTAATGCAGAGATCTCAAGTGACTTTCTGGGCCTTACATTGCGATCGTAATGGTTCTGAGAGACACTTAACTTCACTGCATTCATCACAAGATGCAAACATTGTTCATTGTTATTCACGAGGTCATTTGCCAACAGACCACTAGTCAAGTCAAGCGATAAATAAACAAGTCGAACTTCACAAAACAGATCTGCAAAATATTTCTTTCTCTCTTCATTATCGTTATCAATCCATGCTAGAATAATGTTGAACACATCTTCCTCGGACTCTACATATATTTCATCACTGGAAATCCACCTTTTGACTTCTCTGCATGACAGATTCAAAAAGTCTTTCGTTTTGGCTACACTGCTGAAATTTGTAAATATTAAACTCATGGAGATGGAAAAAAGGTCTTCGCATTGATAACTGTCAGCAAAATAATAAGCTGAAACAGAGTTAGAACATTAAGCTTGTCCACCAAAACTTTCTCAGCGATGGTTTTCAGGTGTGGAAGAACCAAGTAGTCTGAAATGGCGATCAAGTCTCGGGTACAATTTTCTCCCCCTGGTATTTGAACACGGCCTGTGTAGATAAACTCCAATATGTCGCTCAAACACCCCTCGTGTATCATTTCAAGGTGGATTATTCCTTCGATAGCGTCTTTCATGTCACTTTTAAGCAGCCTTTCGAAGAAAGGGCTTGCTTCTGAAAGAACACGTCTGTGAGCTTTGAATTCTTTCCCATTTTGAATAACAAGAGTAACGTCAAATGGATGATCAAGCGTTTCTTGTGGAAGGAAAACTTGTTTGGTGTTTGGAATACCACCTGCTGTGGCTTGTAATGAAGTTTCCATCGAAATATTGAAGAAAATACCGGTACTATACTGAAGTGTTTCTCGTGGACCACTCGACTTGTCCAAGGCGTTCTGACTTGACCGGGAGGAACTCGGTAAGAGGAAGTCCGCTGTAACGCAGGTAATACATTAAGGTAATACATGATCAGGAAGTACACTTGCTTACTTCGAGAGCCCATATACCCTTTATAATCAGTTAAATCATTGTTATTTAAAGTGGATAAATGAAAAGATACTAGAGAACCTCTCGTTGGGGTGACCCTATTTGGAGGAACGGTGGACTAACGGAACGACGGAACGGAATGACGGAATTCACGGAATATTCTTAAATATGGAATATACGGAAGTACTAAAACACGGAATTTACAGAACATTCTGTACTTGATTTGAACTGGACTGACATAAAAGCAGAGACAAGGAATGCACAAAATATTCTCAAACAAAACACGGAAGATACGGAATATTTTAAAACCCAGAATAAGAGGAAAATCTTTTAAAAAGGATATACATGTATACTGACTCAAACGTCATACTAACTCGAAGAACGTTAGAGTATTCCGTGGATTCCACCATTCCACCGAGTGGAGTCACCCCCAAGGCGGTCATGCTGCTGGACAAGATCAATAGCATTCCCTTTTGCTGGGAACTAAACTCCTTTGAACATTAAACACTCTTTTCGTGTGGCAAAATAAGACGCGTCTTACATAAGACGCGAACTTTCCGTATGAACGGCACATTTCGTCTAAAATAAGACACGACTTAGCTAAGGCGCGTCTTATTTTAGAACAGCCCTTAACACCTTTTCTTAGATAAGACGCGTATTATGCATCAGTCAATTCCACCTGCGCCCAGGCCCCCCCCGGGCTGACCCCCGGGCATTAGCATTTTTTTTGCCTTGGATGGCAAATTCCCGGGGGTGGGGACTCTTGAGCTGTCAAATTCCCCCGGGTGGGGACGAAAAAAGAGGGCAAATGCCCCGTCCTCCGTCAACACTGCAACATTTTTCATTGATCGCACAGTCAAATAGTGCCGTTTTAAGCATTTTAATGTGCGATTTTTTTGGTTTAATTAACGTCTTCCTTTGTAATAGCGCGAGGATTCTAATTAGGACTTCACGCCGCGACGACATGCACCAGTTTTAATATGGTTTTAGTATTGGTAAAAAATTATTGACATTAAAATTAATAGAGCGCTGTAAAGTTATATGTTATGAATAGTTTTATAAATATGAAAGGATGTTCTTCAAATAATATCAACAGAAATTTGATTCAATAACCAAAAAACGTTGATTCACATCGAAAGCTCCAATTTCGCTACGTAATTCTGGCTTGATAAGCAATGAAGAAATGCATACATACATTTAAAATCGAGAACATGCCTTTACAACCCTCTACAATTTATTTCTGTCCTTAAAAAATGAGCCAATCTGCTTTTCTTCTAGTAAAACCTTATATTCTGATAGGAAACCGCGTGCGTATCAAAAGCTCGGGATTGGCCCGGGGGTTGGCAAATGCCCGGCCCCCGGGCAGTGCAACATTTGCAAATGCCCCACTCCCGGGACTGACAAGGCGGGCAAATGCCCCGTAGTTGCCCGGGGGGGGGGGCTGGGCGCAGGTGGAATTGACTGATGCATTAGCTAAGGCGAGAAAAACTTCGTATTCTCGTTCCCAGAGCCACTCGACTTCATTTGTAGCCCCACGTGACCAAGAAACGACGGGCTCTGGGGACGAGAATGGTCTCACATAAAAAGCGAACGCATAGAAACGCATAGTACGCATGCGTTAATTTTTGGCGGGAAAATTATCGCTTGCCCCGTGGTGGACTGGCAGGCCACTGGCGGGAGAAAATTGTTTACAAATTACAACGCGTTTTCGTTTCCTTGTCCATTCTGCTTTATTTTTTTCTTCGCTCAAATAAAATGAGCACGCCGTTAAAGGTAAAAAAGAAACATTTGGTCCATGCATCGCGAAGGAAAAAGATTTTTTGTTATTATGTAAGGAGAAGGCGATAACTGACCTCCTGGACAAATGCGTGACATCTGCTGGTGTAAGTAGACCCTTTTAACTTTAAACTATCACAATTTATATTTGCTAATCAAATTGCTATCTTCGTATTATAAACTTACACTTTAAAAGTAAGCTTAAGTATACGGAAGACTTAGATAAGACATGCTCGTATAAATGGTCCAGTTCGCGTCTTACTTAACGCTTTTTATGTAAGACGCGTCTTATTTTTCCTCGTACAAATGTATAAATGGCCCTAAGGAATGCTTTAACCCTTTAAGCCCCAATATACACATACAAATTCTCCAAACTCATCTCTATACATTTTATTAAAAAATGTGTTGCGAGAATTTGAGAAAAGATCAAGGCACTTTCTCTTAGATAATCATTTTATTAATTCTCACAACCTTATCTCTACACAATGTATGGATATTGCTGGGAGAAAATTGATGTTGGTCACCGTTGGGACTTAAAGGGTTAATGAAGTTCAGAAAGATGTAAACCTCTGGAAATCTAAAATCTGAAACGGTCTCTCTTGCAGTACCCTTAATATATAGAATTAGGTGATATATAGAATTAGGCAGGGCTAAAAGCGAAGCTCCTTTTAATATCTATAGACTCCACAAAGAAAATATAAAATCGAGTAATACTTAAGACAAGTTGAAAGAAACGAGAACGGTAAAAAACAACAAAAATAGATCTAATTAGCAAAAAAAGAAAAAAATTTGCACGTGCAGCACATTATTTTTTCTAATTAGCAAAAAAAAAACCAACTTTGCACGTGCAGCACACTTTTTGGTACATTTCCTTGCCGTTGTTTTGCACAACCAAAATGTGAAACTTCTTTACCTTCCTACTTAGGCGTTTTATGGAGGAAATGTTTGTGTTCCTGTTCACTCTGTTTTTTTTACTGCCTCTCATTTTCACATCGGTAGGCGCTAGCATTTCTCATTTTCTAACCGCCGCTATATAATTTTCATGTTTTTCTTTCAACGAAATTAGTCTCCCGTTGTTATTTATTTCTCGCTCCAAAAACCACCTGCAGATGAACGGTTGAAAAGGAAAGAGCAGAAGCAGGATGGCAATCGTGGGAGGAAGTGAAGACCGTTGCGGCAAACCGAGATAAATAGAGGGATTCTTTGAAGGCCTTTTGTTCCACGAGGCACGAAGCGGATAGGTGAGGTGAGCGAGTTTTCTGCCTACTGATATTGTTACTGGTCATGATAGCGCCCAGCCTACACGGCAGTAGATTCCATATCCTTTTAACCAAGTGGGAGCGCTGCGGCTTGGGGTGAAGAGGGGTTTTGCGTCTCCCTGAGTTCTTTCTCCTGGCTAAAAGAAAATGCGAATGCGAATTCGCAATGTAACTAGTGCAATTTAACACCACCAAAGGGTTTGGAGATACACACACTATTAAAGGCACAGGTCAAACGCCGTACTTCATGTTGGCTGAACCTAACACCAATGAGAACAGTAGATTTTGCTAGGGGAAAAAGTATGGTCTTTTGTTCCAGTCATTAGTATTCATTAGGCTCGGTTAATACGAAGAACGGCCGTCTGACCCGGGTCTTCCAGGGGTTGGGATCCTTGACTCAGTTTGGTGGGCATACTGTTGCTGCTGAGAGTTAGAAACTCTGAACTTGCTAAGGATGAAAAACCCCTAGGGCATCCTTAGTTGGGCAAACACCCTACGAAAAACGGAGAGCGAGCACAACTAAGTCAGAACTTTATTACAGCGTTAAGGTCGCATACCATGTACCCTAACTGGGGACACCTAACTACAATTACTGATCTTATAGTCAATAAAATAATCTAATATTAAATCAATAAAATATGAAATGTACGTCCACACGCAAAATCAGTAATTATTTGTTACATAAAAAACAGTCCTAGTACCACTGACTGGTACTGGCGCTATTTTCATGGAAGTATACTCACAATCACCAACTGTCTTAGCACAACTCAACTACTATCCTAGTTTATATCGATCTGACCTGTTTACAAAAATACTTTTTCAACACAGACTTGGAATTTCTGAGAAGATGACAAGGTAACATTTCTCCATGATTCAACTTCATTAAAAAATGATGAGGAACCAAAGCGATTACAATTTGAATGCTGTAAATAGCTTTTGATTTTTAGCTATAAAAAATTGCGAAAAAAATTTTCTTAAAAACATTTTAGGAAATTTTTTTATAAAGTTAAAAAATGTAAGACGTTTCCACGTTCTCGGTAATTAGGTAACTGGTACATAATATCTTAGAACGGAGATTTTCCTGTAAAAAAGACTAAAATTATAGTGAACAACAACAACAACAAAAAACAGAAAAGAAAAAAACACATAATCGAACTTCTCCAGTAAACACAAACTTGCCAATGTTTTAGCTGCAGCAACCAAATGGGGCACAGTTCACAGCTGAGAAAAATTCTCATGAGATCTAAGCTTATATGGCATCCAGATCAACACCTGGGGAAACTAAAGTGTAAATTCAGGAGAAAAACAACAATTTGAATAGCACCCATTCTCCTTTCATTCAATGCAAAAAAATTAAATACTATAGTAATCGAGTAACAATAAAACACAGCCATGAAAATAAGAGAAAAAAATAATGACTGTAAAAGACAGGTATTAAGATTCTACTTGAAGCTTTTAACACTAGCGCACTTTTAATGGCGGCCAGAAGGGAATTTCACAGCCTTGCGGCACAGCTCAACAATGCCCAGCTATCTCCATACACAACTGTATGTAACTACACCACTAGTTCTTACAAGTACACGTTCTGATTTCTATGGTTTAGTTTAAATAGTTCAGGAAAACTATTTTTACACACTGTTACAGAAAATTTAATATGCACTCAAAAACACATTTTTTTAAAAGAAATTATATATTTACAAAATTGTACTGTTTCAATGAGGAATGGAAAATAATTAATATTATTTTCACCGTGATTAATCCAGGGTTAAAAAAATTGCAGCTTCTAAGAACCAGAACGTCACTGTTTTGAGGGCTTTAAGTGCATAGCCTGTGAACAGGCCTTTGGTCGGGCAGAGAACTAGGGAGAGGGAGAAGCGAAAAGGCCTGTAGACAAACATTTGGGACCGTCGTTCCACGGCACCCACTGTGCATCAGATCCTGATGCAAGTTCTTATTGGCAAGAGCACTGACTGTTGACAGGTCTGATTGACATCGGCTTTTCGGTCGGCATGTAGCACCCCTTTTGATCACAAAGTGGAAATAACAAAACACTCCAAAGCAATTGCCAAGGGAGGAACTACGCTCTCCAGTCAAAAGACTCACACTATCTTTCCTAGGCTGGAGTTTACCGAGTCACAATGCAATTCTCCATAGTTGATGTAGCTTCGGTTTAAGCTGCACTTGAATCTTACAACTTTGGATCTGTAAATTACTATCCGTGATAATTTTTAAACATTCTGCAAAGAAAACTAACGAGCTGGGCCCAGCATGATAAAACATTTCAGAAAAACATTACATTCACGGACTAAAGAAAATCGATTAGTTATTCAGATCGAGAAGGCACTTTGGAGAAAAGTAAGAGCCTTATTCAGCCGCAATAAAAAGCTTTACGCTTCAAAAGAGGTTAAAGGAAATGCTCTTGCATCAGAGGGCACATCCTGCTGACCAGAGACAAAAACCACAGTAAATCGATACGTATGCCATGACCTCTCAGTGTGTGAAACAAGCGGCTAAATTCACATTTGCTCAGTGAAAATGTAGAACCTTCCAGAGCATAATGTACCTGGCAGAGGAAAAACCTTATGGGAACAAGCAGCATTTTGGCGTGAGATAAACGTCGTGTAGGCTTACCGCCCCCTTTTATTGCTATAAATTCAGGATAAATACCCAAAGGTGTAATTCCTGTCTGCAATCGTAGCGCTGCTGATCTCTTTGTACTTGTCTTTGGAGGTTCATGTTCTCGAGAAGTCATGATAGCATCTGTACTTTTCGCATTCCAAGTTCGCTCATTGCTGGGGCTTGTTAAATTAGAAACTGAACTAGCAAGACGAACGACCCGTCGCGCACAAGTTAAGCAGCTTAAATCGGAAAAGCTCTCTCCTTGCTCAGAGGAAATCTTGAGGATTCAAATGCTTTTGCTAGTACAACGCTGTCTTGGCTACTGTCAACCAGCAAGGTCTTATTTCTTGAAACTCCAAAGACCAGCACCGTACTAATTCTTTTACAGGAGATCAACAATTTTTTTTCAAAATCAACAATTAGGCTCGCGGTCTATTTCACTTTGTTTTGAGACAGAGCAAAACAGGGCTCATTTCCCGTTAATTTTCCCAGGAGTTACTCGCGCGCGAAATTGATTGACAGATAACAATCTTACCGACAGATGTTCAGCAAGATAATTACAAGAGGGCAGAATAACGGCCTTAAATGTTTGTCTACAGGCTCTCTCCCCCCCTTTTCCTTCCCTTTCCTTGCTATTTTTTTCCCCAAACAGAGAGCCTGTTCTTAGGCTATAAGTGCAAATCATTACAAATGACAAATTGTTGAAAAACACCAAACTACAATTTTAGATCCTGACAAAACACTGATAGTATTCATGTTGTTAGGTCACGTGATAGCACATTTATTTTTCCCAGCTTTAATGTCATGAAATGAGGCATGTTGAAGAAAGTTGCATTTTTTGAAAATTCTCATTGAACAGCATGAAGTAATCTGTAAGTAAGATTCATTTTTCAACCCCCTCGGTAACAGTTCGTCAAATGGTATTTGAGTTTTCTCTTTCCATTCATTTTTCTCAAAGTCATAGCTATCAATTTTGTCTTTTCGATTCCATGCACAAATAAGTCGGATTAAACAATACAGCTTGTTATCAACACCCAGCAAAGTTGGATTGTAATGATCAAATGGTGTCTTCCTCAACCTTGCTACAAAATGCCATTCATTTGTTTCTTCATCATACACTTCACAACTCTCGGCTAAATCATGAGTTACTCCACCAACCACAAAAATGTTTCTGTGTGTAGCAGTGGCACGAGCATACCATCTTGGATACTGAAGGTTTGCTAGTTTCTCCCATGTGTCTTTAATGACATCATACCTATCGGCACTTGCAAGTTCCTCACTTCGATCTGGGCTGCAATAACCACCACCAATGAAATACACAAAATTGTCCTTGGCCACAACACAAACTCCAGATCTTGAATTGCAGTCGAAATCAAATGATGTTATGTCTTCCCAGGAATTGGTTTCTGGTTTGTACTTTCTCAAGAAAGAAAGATGTGGGGTCTTACTACAGGGTCCAGGAATTTTGCTTTGGTACCGGGATGTACAGTCAGGGCAACATAGAAGATCTTCAGCTACAAAGGCATAAATTGCTTCATCACCTCTTGCAAATATGTTGTGCACTGTCCTGTAATCCTCATATGGCAATGAAGCCCAACAATTTGATAATGGATCATAACACAACAGCCTTCTCTCTCTGATTCCTATGTCCTCATCAGGATATAAGTGAAAATAAAGTTTTCCATGACAGGATATAACATCTGCAATATTGGGTGGAACTGTCCCATTAAACTTAGACCATGTGTCTTCAAGTGGATTATAACAACAAAGCATGTTGTCTTCCTGTCTACTGAAACCTTGTACACATATCACCATGACAGGCATCTCTAGTGACTTTCTAGGACGAATACTGTGCTGCTGAAAGTCTTTTGATTCAATGATCTTCAAAGCATCCTTCACAAGCCCCATGCTGTATTTATCACCAATCAAAAACTCACTTGTCATGATGTCACGGTACAAAAAGTCACGTGATATATATACAAGTCGAACTTCACAGAATAATATGGGGAAATATTGCTTCCGGTCCAGTTTATTACAATCCACCCATTTAAAAATGATCTTGAATACATCTTCTTCGGCAGTTACAACTATGTCGTCACTTGAAATCCACATTTTGATTTCATCACACGGCAAACTCAAAAACTCCTCCGTTTGGGCCACGTGCATGAAATTGGCATGAATGAAGTTTCTGGTCTCAAAAATGAGCTCGTCACATTGATATTTCACGCCAAACTGATAAAGTGAAACAGAATTTGATATCTTTAAGTCCTTCACTAAATGTTTTCCAGCAACAGCCTTCAGACGTGGTAAAACCAAGTAGTCTGACATGGCGATCAAGTCTCGGGCATATTTTTCTTCTGCTACCGATATTTGAACATGGCTTGTGTAGATAAACTCCAATATATCGTTCAAACACTGCTCGTTTATCATTTCTAAATGGATTACTCCTTCGATAGACTCTTTCATGTCACTTTTAAGCAGCCTTTCAAAGAAAGGACTTGCTTCTGAAAGAACACGTCTATGAGCTTTGAATTCTTTCCCATTTTGAATCACCAGAGTAACGTCAAATGGATCATCAAGTGTTTCTTGTGGAAGGAATGCTTGCTTGGTATTTGGAATATCACCTGCTGTAGCGTGTGATGAAGCTTCCATCGAAAATAACGGCAAACAGTTGAACGATTCGATCGACTGTAGTTTGGAGAGTACTACGTTCCCACACGTAGTTCGTGGAACAGAGATTCCGATGAAAAACACTGATTGCAGGCGTAGCGGATATAAATAGCCTTCGTTTCTCTCTAGCACTCCTCTATCAAGTGCTCACGCCTTCGCGCCTCTCTCCTTCGCAGAGGCCTGGGCCGGTTTCATACCCTCCAAGGGAGTGACAAACATCAATTTTCTCCCAACGTTATCAATACGCAATCAAGGGAAGAGGTCATGAGAATTGATAAAATGATTACCGAAGGAAAAATTCTCCGATCGTTTTTCAAACTCTCCCAACTAATTCAGTAAAGAAATGTATAGAGATCAGTTTGGAGAATTTGTATGTAGATATTGGGGCTTAAAGGGTTAAGATAACCCTGGGATAGTGCGAAATTTGAATTCAGATACGAAAGCTTAAAAACCAAATTCACTTTAATATTCCTTTGGTCTGCAATTTGGTGATTGTATGCTCTAAAAAGAAATAGGGAAAATTATCTTAGAAAATGCTATTAAACTAAAGAAAAAGATTAAACCCTGGGTTAGCACTAATCGGCTTTTGAACAAGTGGGCCCTTGAGGCTGGGAGAAAGAAATAGAAAGTGTGTTGGGATAAATAGAGGGGGCATCAACTGGCGAAGGGCCAGAACCACTAGGGCTAGAGGACCTGAGAGTGGGTGGGGCTAATCTGTGGGGGGCTGGGGAAGGATTGAAATTTAGTAATTTTGCAATGGCACGAAGTACATCTTAAACTCCAATCCTGTAATAAGAGTAATGCACCAGTGCCAATTTCTGGGTTCCAAAAACTCTTGAATGAGGCTAAGTGGAAAACCTTTGTTCTGAAATGAGTTGCTCCTCACTTAGAAACAGAGGTTTGAGACAACTTGGAAATGACCTATTAAGAAACCCTTGCTTGAAACTTGGCTTTCTAGGTAGCCTGATATTAAAACATCCAAGGTCAATAACGGCCCCTATGCTTCTTAGCTTTTTTGTAGCCAATTACAGATAGCTCAAGACCTATTTTGGGGCATAAAAGTGCCCCCAAGGAATTGAAACCCTTTTCTGTATAGAAAGAGGGATTGGGACCCATAAAATTCCTACCTGGCTGCTATTTCTTTACCCAACAATCACCCTCCCCCCGGCCCTTTGTTTAGACAGTTTCCAATGAAATTGGTACACCTTGTTCACGTTACTGAGGACAAAAATGCCACGCAACATGTCCAGTGAGGTCATCCGGCGACACGTCCCCAGCCAAATGAGTATGTTTCCTGAAGTGACCCCACCTGGAGACAATAAAATGTCTGGGGCTAGCTCCCACAAGAGACTGTGGAGGGGATCCCGAGGGTGTTTGCCGACTCGCTCCGCGGTGTAAATTGCAGATTTTGGTCTCACTTGTGGTGTTTGGGATGGAAAGTAACTACATTTGCCCATTCAGGTATCTTTTAGGGCTGGGCATAAAGAAATTTACAAAAAATGCTGTGATGTCTGTTCTAGTATGGTCTCCCTCAGGGGTCAGTTTAAGATTGAGCCACACCCACATTGGTCTCCCTTTGGGGTTTAATTTTAATTTCCAACAAGTATCCCTGTCACTTTAAGATAAGAGTCCCCCCCCCCCAAAAAAAAAAAAAAAAATATTTTTTTTTTTTTGTGGCGCCTGGGAAAAAGGGTTATCAATTGTTGGGCCAAAAAAGGAAGTTGGTGATGTCCTTTAATTTGGTAGGGTTTTTTTGGGTTTTTTTTGGGAAAAGGCCGCCATTTCTCCCCCCAACTTTAAGTTTTTAGAGGAAGATGAAGAAATAGTCTGGGGATTGGGATAAAGGCAAGGGAAGACAAGGTTTTAAAANATTGCCTCTGAGAAGCTGTTTGTGAGATATGCAATTAACTTTAGAAATTGATGTAGGCATTACAAAGTGCTGCTGGGACATCAGTTTCGACCATGTGGCTGGTTGAAGTCCAAATCTGGGCCAATAGCTACAATGCCATATGGGTTAATCTTCACGTGACTTTGCTAGAAAACAAAGAAATAACCAATTTATACATTTTAAAATAGTATAGGAAGATGTGCTATGTGGCTATGCTAAAAAAAACTCATGGACTACAGAAAACTGACTGAAGAAACTTAGCTTCTCACTTTCCCAAAACTACTACTGTCAACCTTGATACCAGGCTTCTCTCCAACTCAGACAAGGGTGCACTACAATGGCCTGTTACAGTTGAGTTGCAGTGTACATGTGATAGGTAAAATATTAGTGACAGGTATACACAGGTATTTACAGTAACATTTCATGGGCCACTGACCCCTGAGCTTTGCGAGGTTCTGGGATACACATATTTCTAGTAGTTCATTCTTATGACTTCCTTGTAAATTTGGGCAGGGGCGGATCTAGGGGGAGGGTGCAGGGGGTGCGCCCCCCCCCCTGAGATGACCTGCGGTTTTCTAATACAACTGGTATTCTGCAAAAAAAAAAAAAAAAAACTATGTGGTTTATTGGTGTTGAAGTAGAGCAAGAGACGAGTGCACCCCATCCTAAGAAAAATCCTGGATCCGCCCCTGTTGAGTTATTTTCATTGGAAGGAAAAGCTGTAAGTATTATGCAGAGTAACAACAACTCAGGACAGTAGATCAAAACTCTGATTCAACTGTCAAGCACCTCACCTGATAATGTTTTTGAATGTGTTCAGCATCAACAGTTTCTCCAATTCCACTTGTTTGATACAGATCTCGAAGATATCCCCAGATGTTGGGATAATCAATGATACGCTTCTTATTACACTATTGAGTAAAATCAATGAGACAAACAGTTAAAAAGCCGTGTGATGATGTTAAAAGCCATCACTAGTTAATAGCCACTATTATTGCCATATAATAAAGTGTAATAAGAAAGTTTAATAATTAGGCATAAGCACAAAAAAGCCAGCATAAATTGGCTCACCTTGCAACAAAGTTTACGCTGTGAGGTAGCTTTGCTTCATTTTGGCTGGACGGTGACCAAAAAACAGCTTAATCACAAATGCTCGAAGAGCAAATGATTTAACCTAAAAAACATTGTGAGATTCATACCTTGAAGTGCCCAACATAAACCATATCAAATCTGACAAGTGTGGTGAAGAGACGAACATCAGCCTCTGTGATGGTGTTACCAGTAAGATAACGAGATTTACTCAGGGTATCTTCTACCTACAGAAAGAACAATGAAATTAAAAATCAATCAATGATTACAAAAATAGGAAGTGAATAGGAAGAATACCACCAGTAATGTGTTTGTTATTTGATGCTAAAAATAAAGCCAGCAGATTCATGTAAAAGTGACTTCAGTTGGGGTTTAATTTTATATTTAATACTCCAATACAATCTCAAGACTTTGTAAGAGTGGTGAAAAGAAAGGAAACAATAATCTTCAAGGAAAGTACAGTGGAAGCTCTTGTAAGCAGACACCCTTGGGATGCAAAAAAGGTGTAACTGGAGCTGGCCACTTACAGGAATGAAAAAAAAAAGTGTGTGTATGGGAGTCGAGAAAAACAGGGTTTTGAGAAGGCAGCCTTAAGAAGAGCTGTCCGCTTATGACAGTGTCCGTTGGGAGAGCCTCCACTGTATAACAGCTTCGGCACATAATAGTTTATAAATGTGACAGGAAACATTGCTACCGGTGACTGCAGTGGGGTGGGGGAAGACTAGGAATTTGGGGGTAGGGATGTGCCACTGGGATAGTGAAACCATTGACCTGTACCAGACCATGTTCAATATCAACCACCATGCACCAAAACTCCTGTTCCTATCCCAAACTACAAATGTAGCACTTTATGGAAACTAGAAACTCCAGTCTTCATAATATTGACTGACTGTCCATAAATGATAGTCTATTATACACCGTAATCATCTGATTCCCATACCCTCTTCCAGGATAAACTAAATGGGAGTATTATTTGTCTGTTGAGTGTATGTGTTCAAAGCAAACAGCCTTCAACTGTGTCAAAGACTGCTGCAAGCTGTTTCAGATTATATGAACTGAAAACCAAGGATTTAGAGACTGGAAGAGACTGTTCACAATGTAGGCTTCCCATTTAAGAAGTATATATTTTTTTCACCTTATCAAGGGCATTGAATACATCTTTCACTGCAACATCATATGCTTCCTGTGATGTGGCAAATCCTGCACGGTAAACACCATTGTTGATATTTCTGCAGATGTAAAAACAACAACAACAACAAAGTTTTCCTTACAATACTTCTTCTACTGACAACTATAGGCCTAACCACCACAAAACCTGGATTTTTCAACAAGATTTTGCAAGAGATTTCAGTGAATATTTTGTCAGGACTAGCCTGGCAAGCCAGGGGAGGGGGTGAGGTTATTTGGGGGTTCCAGAATTTTGTTTTGCACACCTGACGAGGAAATCTTTTTTTTTTTTTTTTCACTTTGGTAGCATTGTTTTTGCAACAGTGACTGAACATGTGTGTTTTTTTCACTTGACAAATGTACTGATAAATTTTGCCCAACCTCACCAACCCCACCCCCATCACTTTTCTAAATGGTCCATTCCTGGGGGTCATCTTAGTGGTCTTTGTTACGTAATCGTACTTACGGATAAATCCATCCGTTGAGCTCTTCAATCTTCTCACTCAAATGATCTGGATACAGATCTAAATTTTTCTGCTCTTCAGTGGCACAGAACGCGTTAAACTCTTTAGTAAACATGCGGATGATCTCACTAGATTCATTGTTTACGAGAGTTTTCTTCTTCTTGTCCCACAACACGGGCACAGTAACTTTTCCCGAATACTCAGGGTTGGAAAGGTTGTAAACTTCTCTTAGGGTTCGGCATCCATTGACTGTATCCAGTGAACATTTGGGCTTGCTGTCTGTAAATGTCCATCCTTCAGTGCCAAGAAACCAATCCACAACAGTGTAAGATATGGCGTTCTCTAGGCCTTTAAGCTTTCGTGTTATGAGAGTGCGGTGTGCCCAAGGGCACGCGAGTGAAACGTACAGGTGATATCGATCAGCTTCGGCTAAAAATCCGCTGGAACCATCAGCTGTCACTTGGTTTCGGAACTTAGACGGTGTACGGACGAACTCTCCTTTCTTACTTATATCGGTTGACCAATCGGGCGGTTTAACACTCATCGTTTACTCACTGCAGTGCAAAGCTTTACACACTTAATTTTGCAAGATATTGATTCTTCGAAACAAACCTGGGTGCTGTTTTTATTTCCATGATTAATCCATGATAACTTTTTGAAATTTGCTGAATCATGATCGCATGCGCATTGTGTCTCGCTTTTGAGGTTTGTGATTGGTTGAATTTCTCCCGCGGTTTGCGGTTTTCACAAAATCCCAAGTCTCCTTCGCAGCCACTCGTACTACTCGGGCCGGAGTCACGCAATGTTCCCTGCCGGCTACGGCTTTTTTCTAATTTTCGACAATTCTACAGCTCGCACTGAGCACGAACAAAAAGGAACGAAGTGCACATTTTGTTAGTTTCATGGTAACAAACCCTGAACATGTCCTTTTTATGTCAAAAAGGAAGGTTTGTAACAAAACAAGGTCACCCCTAGCCTCTTATTACCACTGCAGCATAGCCAACGGCATCTTATAAAGCAGAGACAACTAAAGAGTCAATAAAGACAAAAACGGAAATCGGAAATTGTTTCTGTATCCGTGTTTTCTAAAGTATTAAGCTTAGATTAATTTGTCATGTCCACAAATTTGGAATATAAAGCAAGAGAAAGACAGAGAAAAAGAGAAAGTAGGCGGAAGGCCAGCGAAGCTTAAGGAGAAAAAGGGCGACAGAAACCTACAGCGAGAGATAAAAAAACAAAGGAGACGTTTTTTGTTGTAACTACAACATGAAAATTTTGCAGCGGCGATGACAAAATGAGAAATGCTAGCGGCTACCAATCAAATGCAAGGTGAAAATGAGCGGCTGTGAAAAAAAGTGAACGAGAACACGTACGACATTTCCTCCATTAAAAGTGTAACTAAGAAGTTTTTGGAAGTTTCACGTTGTAGTCGTGCAAAACAACGGCAAAGAAATGTACAAAAAAATTGTGCTGCACGTGCAAAGTTGCTTTTTCCCTAATTAGATATTGAAGTATACTCACAGTATAAAGTTGTCTTATGTACTTTACTGTTAAAAAAGTAAGGAGTTGTTGCAAGGGATAACTCGTAGCTTTCCCACGCGCATGCAGGAAAAAAAAAACAGCGCTAAAACGGTTTTGTAATAGTGAGTGGGTTTTCACTTCCTCCAGATAGATAGGAGAAAACGGTTTTGTAATAGTCAGACAAAATTTAAATAGAGAGTTTTCAGCTCCACTTTGTGTATGTGTGTGTGTTTTGTTTCTATATCCGATTTTTTAGCGCTAAATAGAAGAAGCCGTTTCACGGGTTGCTAGGTGATCGCTCCTCTTTTTCATACTCTTTTCATAGACGTTCCACTCAAATGGGGAAAGCAGTCGAGACCAAAGTAAAACGGGATGAAACGTCTCTGTCTAAGAAGGTGGTAAAGAATCGAAAAGTCCAAGGGGAACTTAAAAACTGGATGACGATACTTAGTACAATATTATATTGATATATTCCATCTAAAAACAAACTATACTAGTTGTAATAATATTTTCTACTTCTGGAAGACTGAACTGTCTATAAAAATAAGCGCCCCAAGTTGGAAGACAGGGTGGAAGCCGGACAATTGATTTAACATTTTTGCTTGACAAGCAGTTTTTCGCTTCGCTGTGCTTCGACCTCGTTTCCATGTTTTGCCTCCAAAATCAGTACGATTTCGTATTCGTCTAACCCCTTTTTCGCCCTTTTGAATAAATATGACATCATCATGACAAAGAAGGGACGCGATATCACTTTTCTATTTATAAATTATGATCTCAACTTTTGTTTGATGACTTCATCCCCTAAGAAATTCTGACGTCACTTGCTCCTTGCCAGCTAAAAATAAACTATCACATCATCCCATCTATATGACATGCATGACGTCATCGGCGTTAATGCATTCCTGCGCAACCTCGTCCCCAGGGGTCCCTTTTGTCATGCGCTGGAAAAATCGGGATCCCCGTCGCTGACCAAAAGGATAGCGGCCTCTGGGAACGAGATTGAATCCTGCGCAACTTAATGAGATTTCTGCGCGTGGAAAAGGATAATTCTGTCCCTACCCCACTACTGTCGTTCTCTTCCATACATTTTTCTACTACTAGGGTAAAGAAAATCGTCCGTTACACCGAGGACTTCTTTATAAAGAGGTTTGTTTCATAGAGGTTCCACTGCATTACAATTGGAAAGGGAAATATCAGGCAATCTTTGGGCTGGGAAATAGGATTTAAAAAACATTCCGCCTGGGAAAGGGAAAGATTATGTGACTAAACAAGGAGTCTTGGTCAATTCTTCCGTTTATTTCCTCTAAAGATGGCCTCTAAATCATTCCATCAGTCAATGAATAAGCACAGAGTACTTCACAACCGCGAAGCAAAACGAGTCTTCTGATATCAAACAAGCTTCACACTGAATACCTTCCTCGAAAAAGGAGTTTCTTTTAAGAAGCGCTTCATGATCTCCATCAAAAAAAGCCCGAACACTGAAATTACAAATTTAATTGATATCTCATTGACTGTTCGTTAACTACCTTCCCTCCTGTTTACAAAGCAATCTTTATCAGTCTTAAGAAAAGAGATGAACACAGCCTGTAATGCTTCCGAAGGCCATAAGAGGCTTGTCTTGATGAAAGCCAATGCTGCTCACTTCATCTGCCAAACACAAGAGAACAGTTACAGTAGGCGGCGGTAGG